GACCCAGAAACACATTTCTGTATTCTGGGATGTGGTTATGTGGCTGCCAGGCCTGTCTCCCTGTCTCATGCACCTGTCAGATTGTGCACGGTCTGCTGCTGGTGACTCCTCTCAGGGAGTGTCCTCAAGCAGAGCCTCGGCATGATGGCTGGAGCACTTCTGCAGGTTTGGGCTCTGTGGTTGCTCTACCCAGTTGGATGCATTCTAAAAACTTGATGGGCCATAATCCAGGGGTGAGAAAAAGCCCAAGGCTCCAAGCAGAAGAGGAGAAATATCTAACTTCCCCACTAACCACTCTGATAGAGTAAGTTACTTAAACAACAAAACCTGACTGTGTTATTTCCCCCACCCACCCAAGAGGTCTTTTGTATTTAGTGTCCATGGGGAAAGGTGGGGGGGGGAGAGAAAACAACAAGAAAGGGGCGGGACTGAGGCAGGGTGCAGTGGAGAGCTGCTCCCTTCTCTGATTTCATTTCACATATTGCGGTTGGCAGGGCACGGATATTTTTGAGAAATTTCTTGAAAAGAGATGCTTGGGACTTTGAGAAGGCTATCAGTCTTCTTAGTAGGCACTCAATATCTGTTTATGGAATACATTAGCAAAACCAAATACTTTCTGGAGAGTGGGTAGACAATAGCTGGAAACCTACTCCTGGCCTCCATCCTTGAAAATTGATCCCCTACTCAGTGTGCCAACTTTCCTCTTTCAAGCAATGCCAGTTAGTTTAGGAAAGTCCCACAAATGACTGACTGAATGATGGACAGGCTCTGCCTTTTTCAGGGTTAAAATAAAGCGGCGGCATCTCTCAACACTCGACAGCCTTGCTCCAGAAGGCCCAGTCCTTGTTTTGTCCAGAGCTGCAGCCTTCCAGCACGGTGCTGCCACCTACAGGCCCTCCGCGGAAGTACCGGAATAAAAAACGGGAACGTGGGCGCAGCAACCTCAGTTGAGATTTACTCGTCTGCCCCCTTTTGTCCCGTTTTGATGTGTGAATCTGCACAGTGGCTTCCCAGTAAAGTGAGGATAATCCGGCCTGATTTTATTTGTATCTATACTTTGAGATTGGGGTTTGAAGGACAAATAGCAATCGAGTGGGTGATCCCTTCTTGCAGTGCCACTCCCCCTTCAGGACTTTGTCCAGCGCAGCTTCTGGGACACCCAGTGGACAGCCCAGCACTGAGTGGGTGCCCTCCCGAGGCTGTGCCTGTTCCACCTCTCAGGAGTGTGTCCCAAGAAAGAGAATCCGAAAGATGTGCTTTGCCTGGGTTCCTGGAAACTACTTCCATCCACACACAACTGCTCCAGCCTTCACTTTACAAACCAAAGGTGAGACTCCTGTACTGTAGACACTACCTGAGGCCTTGAAAGAGCGCGGTGTGGCCATTTAACAGTGCTATGACAAATGCCCGAAACTGACCTTTCCTGGTTTTCTTGTCATCTTCTAACACGCACCCATTCAGCAAATGGGCCTCCTGTGTAGATACCAAGATGAGCAAAACAGCATGGTTTCTGTCCTGACCAAGTCTCATTTGCACAAGCTAATGGACAGATGAGGTGGCAACAAGAATGGAGAGGGAAGACCGGCAAAGGGGACAGGGGAGAGGTCAGGAAAAAGAAAATCATGGAAGAGAAAAATGAATGAATTGTACATTGATATATCTATATGTATATCTGCATCTATGTCATCTATCTATCTATCTATCTATCTATCATCTATCTATCTATCTATCTATCTATCTATCATCTATCTATATTTTTAAATGGGATCCGAACCGGGGCCCTCCGGCATCCCAAGCCAGCCCTCAACCACCGCGCCACTCGGCCGGCCCTATACATATATTTTAATGCAACAGTAGTTGCAGGGGTTGTGGTTAACCTGACTGTGATCTTGCTAAGTGAGGAGGATGCTGCGACTTGACTGGTTTGGATCAAGGTGGCCCTGGTTCATGGTCTGGCTCGCCACCGCCATCAGGCCTGAGAGTGGGACAGAGCCACCAGCAGAGGCCATCTGGGACCCTGTAACAGAGTTGTGCTCTTTGCCAAGCTGGTTGGTTTAAATTAAACCCAAGGCTAAACCGTCCACTAGGCATGTCTATTTGGGAAGTCATTTGGAAAACGTGGAATAAATTATTTACAGTGGTGTTCCCTTAGCACTTGGGGAAATCTTTGGGGTGAAATTAGCCTAAAATGAACAGAGAGAGCAGGTTAGGAGTTCCTGGGTCGCCTGTGGGGTGGTGGTGGCATGGGATGGGGAAGGTTCTGTTCTGCTAATGATAGAGCAATCTGAAGAAGAATGGCTTCTCCTTAGGACTGCTATCGCCTCCGCAGTCAGCCCCTTAGTAATGACCCCTTAACCCACCCCTAATCACCGCTGGCTGTTAACAGTGCTCCAGAAGGGCGGTCTGCCAGCCAGTCCTGTGAACCCTGCCAACCCTCTTGGGAGATGTCTACTTGCCTAAACTTAGTGACGAGGACGGACTTTAAGACCCATGAAGATGAGTAGCCGGGATGTCCAGCATCCACAAACATGTTGAGGTGACAGGCCCCTGAAGCTGCACCTGCCATTGCTCCAAGTGCCCTGCAGGGGGCAGCCTAACCCTTTAGCCTTGATTTCAAAGGGCTTCAAAGAGAAATTGATTCCACACAAAGCGATAAAAAAATCTATGCTGNACACCTACATTTCAGATCCTCTTCTACATGCTTTAACACATTAATTCATTACCAGGTCTATGAAACAGGCAGGCTAAGGACCTCATCTATGCAGATGAGGAGAGACATGGTATGTGTGGTGTTAGAGGATGGTCAGAGGCAGAGAACCTGGGATCAAGGTATCTAATCCTTCTATTCCATCAGCCACAGTGTTCCATCTCTAGACTCCTGGTAAGAATAATACTTCCTTGATAGGGTGGTTGTAAAGATGAAATGCAATATATGAAAAGTACTTAGAGCCCTAGATAGAAACTGGTTGTTGGTATGACTCTGAATATGGTAAGCCCAACGTTACCTTACATAACTGAGTTAATTTCTAGAGTAATTCTACCATAAGAAAAACTGGATTCTATAAAAAATATAAGCTCATGAATTTAGAGATTGATTACATTTTTGCTTTTTTAATGAAAGAAATGATTATAGGGATGATTTTGAGTGATTCTCAAAATTTGTATGAACTAAATAAAAAACCATGTGAACATAAAACATTAGAAAGTATAGATGTACATTACATTAGACCAGAACAAAGGAAAGATTGACATAGTTTAGTACAAATCTTAAGTAAAATAAAAAAGCATAGAATAAACTGAAAAAATGTGGGCAAAAGTATGAAAGATAAGGGTTGATATCCTTAATGTCCACTAGAAAAAGGGTCAAAGAATATGAACAGGAAGTTTACAAAATAAGGGCTAATTCACACAAATACCTAGCCAATGAGAAAATTATAACATCACAAACAATGCAATGCTACTTAGCTAAGAACATTCACAGTGGGCCCGACTCTATGCTAAACTCTTTAAGTATATAATTTAATACTCTCAGTGAATCCCATATTTTCTTTATTTTAAAAATGAAGAAATTAAGGATGTAAGAGATTAGTTAACTCACCAAATTGGTATCACAGTTGTAAGAAATGGCACTAGGGAAATTGAGCACTGACTGGATGTTTCATGATATTGTAGCAGTGCTGTTACATCTTTTTTGTTTTGGACTGATAATGGTAGTCTTGGTATGTTTCCAAAAGGGACTTTGTGTTTTAGAGGTGAAATACTGCAACATTTATGGATTAAATACTATGAAGTCTGAGATTTGCCTCAAAACAATCCAGTGCAGGGAGAGGTGGAGAGCATAAGAGAACTGATGAAACAAGATGACCATGAATGACGTTCATGGGGTCCACCATACTATTCTGTCTATTTTTGTATGTGTTTAAAATTTTCTCCAAAATAAGTTTGAAACATAAAATAGTTAAAAAGAAGATTAAAAAAAAATAATAAGAAACTGACCTCTGAGTCACTTGAGCAAACTTGCCCGTGGAAAAGGGAAGACTGAGTATTCTGAAGAGCAGGACGAAGCTAGAGAGGGAGGCCCTTTGTTTTCCTTTGTTTTGTCTTCAAAATAGAAACAATTTTTCCCCTAATTCTTTGCTCATTAGAAAATTCATAAAAACAGCAAAATATTTAAAAATAATATTTATTAACTTTTTTGTGTATATGAATATTTCCATAGATTTGATCTATAGAACTGCATCTTTTTATTGAAGTAGAATTGTCATATAATGCTATATTAGTTTCAGGTGTACAATATAATTATTTGATATTTGTATATATTGTGAAATGATCAGCACAGTAAATCTAGTCAATATCTATCACCATACGAAGCTACAATTTTTTCCCTTGTGAAGAGAACTTTTAAGATCTACTCTCTCAGCAATGTTCAAATATGCACTACAGTATTATTAACTCTAATCACCATACATCATTTTTAATGGTTGCATAGTATTTCATTGGATAGGTGTATTCTAGTTTATTTAACCAATCCTTGATTTGTGGATGGTTAGGTTGTTTCCAATGTGTTACTTTTGCAAACGTGGTACATTTATCTGATGATATGCCTTGGATAAGTTATGGGTAATAGCNAAAGAGGAAAAGACAACCTAATTTCTCAAAAAAGATAGACGAACCACTTGGACAGACAGTTTACAACAGAGGATATCAACTTGGCTAATCAAAGCATAAAAAGGTGTTCAACCAGGTACAATCTGGGGAAATGCAAATTAAATTTGCAATGTGATCTTAAGACACACACACCAGGATGGCTAAAACCAAATAGAGTGATGATACCCTGTATTGTTAATTATGTGAAGTGACAGGAACTCTCATACACTGCTGGCGCAAATGTGAATTGGCACAATCACTTTATAAAACAGTCTGGCATCTCTTTATAAAGTTGGAGATATGCATAATTTATTATCTACCGACTTGACTGGCAGGAAGGTATGTCTCCTCAACATGTACAGGGGTGTGGACACCAGGAATGTGTACACGTGTGCCACAGGAGACAGGCAGGAGAGAGTTCATAGCAGCCTTAGGTACCTGCTGCTAATACTGGAAACAACACAAATGGGTATATAACAATAGTAGAAGAAATAAACAGTATAGTATATTCCATTGTCTGGATGGAGTATAGTTACGTGCAACAGCCTGGAGGAATGCCACAAACAACATGCTGGGCAGTAGAAGGTAGAGTTTGGGGGTGAACACATGAGTGATAAAATATAGAGTAGGGAAGGGGCACGTGTGAGGCTTCTGGGGTTCAGCAATATATTTTCTTGATGGGGTGAAGCTGGTATGGCTATTTATAATAATTCAGCAAATTTACATTTATGCTCTCTACTTTTTACTATATGTGTGTTCTAGTTCACGCACACACACAATCTTAAAGAGCTTAATAATGCTTGGAATAAAGAAGCTTGAAGTAGACTGTTTGGAAGTGCAGTATTTTTGTTTTTGTTTTTGTTTACATGTAGTAAATCAACGGGATTTATTAGGCTCATGGGGCAAAATGAAGTGAAAATGTAAATTGGCTAATATAACTTGTGAGTGTGTGTGGAAGTAGAGTAAGTGAAGAGAAGAAAGAGTGGGGGTCACAACTGGTGAAGTGGAAGCATTACTGGATTCGGAATTAGAAAACCAGAGTTCACGTCTCGTTTCTTCCTCTAACGTGTGACCTTAGGCAAGTCACTCAATGTAT